GATGAAATGTGAATGAGGTTTGCACATTAGTCAATAGTAGTGTATCAATGTGAATTTCCTGATTTTGCTCAGGATGTGAATATCTGAGGAAACTGATGGAAGTTATATGGAACCCTTTGTACTATTTTTGCAACTTCTTTTTAAGTCTGATTGTATTTCAAATTTATTTATTTTAAAATTTAATTTATAAGAGGCCGGGCGCGGTGGCTCAAGCCTGAAATCCCAGCACTTTGGGAGGCCGGGACGGGTGGATCACGAGGTCAGAAGATAGAGACCATCCTGGCTAACACGGTGAAACCCCTTCTCTACTAAAAAATACAAAAAAAAGTAGCCGGGCGAGGTGGCGGGCACCTGTAGTCCCAGCTACTCAGGAGGCTGAGGCAGAAGAATGGCGTAAACCCGGGAGGCGGAGCTTGCAGTAAGCTGAGATCCGGACACTGCACTCCAGCCTGGGCGACAGAGCGAGACTCTGTCTCAAAAAAAAAAAGAGAAAAAAAATTAATTTATTTAACTTAAAATAAAGAGGTGGGGTGCCGTGGCTCACGCCTGCAATCCCAGCACTTTGGGCGGGCAGATCACTTGAGGTCAGGAGTTTGAGACCAGCCTGGCCAAGGTGGGTGGATCACTTGAGGTCAGGAGTTCAAGACCAGCCTAGCCAACATAGTGACAACCCCGTCTCTACTAAAAATATAAAAATTAGCCGGGTGCCGTGGCGGGCACCTGTAATCCCAGCTACTCAGGAGGCTGAGGCAGGAGAATTGCTTGAACCCGGGAGTTGGAGGTTGCAGTGAGCCGAGATTGTGCCACTGCACTCCAGCCTGGGTGACAGAGGGAGACTCCATCTCAACAAAAAAGAAGGAGAAGGAGAAGGGGAAGGGGAAGGGAAGGAAAAGGGGAAGGGGAAGGGGGAGAGGAGGAGGAGGAGGAGGAGGAGGAGGAGGAGGAGGAGGGGGAAAAGCAGAGTTGATCAGAAGGAGACAGGAATGTGTCACCGAGCAAAGTGAAGGCTTGGGAACCCAGCTGTGGCACCCTTGGCTCTCCACCTCCCAGCACTGCTGACCCCTGGTTGCAGATCAGGTCATGGGAAGGAGAATGCGGCCCTACCCCAGGTTAACAAGATCCAGCCCAGCTTTCTTCCAGAGGCAATTCCAGCCCCAAATCCCTGGCTGATGTGCCTAGTTTGGGTTAGGGGTTCCTGCTATCATGGGCAAGGGGCCACCGTTGGTCACATCTGATATCCTGTTGTCAGGAACTTGAGGCCATGGGTTGAGGGAGAACAGGGAAGGCAGATGAACCAATAAGGCATTCACGATGAAGTCCCTCCAACCTCACCTGGCTCCGAGATCCTTAAGGGCAGGAATTATACTTGATTGATCACTCCCCAGGAATTACAGAAACCTATGACTAATAGAAATTTCTAAGTTTGCTGGATAAGAAAAGAAACAACTTACTGAAACTCCCTGTGCTTGTAAGATAACAAAACTGGCTGAAATCAGTTGGAACAACATGGCGGACTGGAGTGTGCACAGAACGAGCTTGCTGATGTCAGAGCCTCAATTTCCACTGCATGTTTTAGTCTAACACCCCCCAAATTTGCACATGCGATCCATGAGGAGGGATGAAGAGATAACTGCGCATGCCAGAGGCCTTTCCAGACTTCCTATTTCCTTCTACCCATCGCCTACCTACTAATCCCTCTATCTGACCCCTAAACCTCTTCTAATAAAGGTATTGACTGCCTTAGGGTGGGCGTGGTGCCTCAGGCCTACAATCCCAGTCCTTTGGGAGGCAGAGAGAGGAGGATCGCTCGATGCCAAGAGTTCGAGACCAGCCTGGGCAACATAGCAAGACCCCCATCTCCACACCCACAGAAAGTAAAGTCTTAAAGCTAGCACGGGGAGACAGCTTTGAGATGGACTCCCATCTGCTTGTTAGTCAACTTGCAATAAAAAGCTTTTCTCAAAAACCCTCGTGTCCTAGCATTGGCTCCTAGCGTGTCGGACAGCAAAGCCCCTTTTGCTCTGTAAAAGCACGACATGCTGGTTCCCTGCCCGTGATGGGAAGATGCAAACTCAGTTGCAGCTGTGAAGGCCCTTTTTCCTGAAGCCCAGCTGCAGAACCACCATCCTCATTGGCTGCAGAGGAGAGAGCGACATAAGTCTTCAGAGCTCAGCCCGGGCTCAGGGGATCCTGGGAGACCTGTATCCTGGTGAGCCAAGGAGGAAGCAGACAGCAGGGAGGCCAATCAGCAGTTAAGGGTGAGTCATTTGAAGGCCTCCCATTTCCTGCCTCCAACCCCCGCAATTAGGAGAAAGCCCTTACTCCTCACTGCAGCCTCCAAGGCCCTGCACGCTCCCTCCCTGAGCTCATCTCCACCACCTCTCTTTTTGGTCACTCGGCTCTAGCCACACCGAGGTCCTTACTGTGTAAAAGTATTCCCTCGGCCAGGCGCGGTGGCTCATGCCTGTAATCCCAGCACTTTGGGAGGCCGAGACAGGCGGATTGCTTGAGCTCAGGAGTTCGAGACCAGCCTGGCCAACATGGTGAAACTCCATCTCTACTAAAAATACAAAAATTAGCTGGGCGTGGTGATAGGCGCCTGTAATCCCAGCTACTCGGGAGGCTGAGGCAGGAGAATCACTTGAACCTGGGAGGCAGAGCTTGCAGTGAGTCGAGATCGCACCACTGCACTCCAGCCTAGGAGACAGAGTGAGACTCCATCACAAAAAAAAAAAAAAAAAAAAGCATTCTCTCCTTCTGTCACTTGTCATAGCATGCTGTTTTATTTTCTTTGTAGCACCCATCACTATCTCAAGTAATTTTGCTTACCTGTCTACTGTTAAAGTCTCTCCACAAAAGGATGCAAAGCTCCATGAAGGCAGGGCCTGTCTAGTTCATCCTGGGAACCCAACATTGCCTGATGCTTCGTAGCTATGGTGGATACATAATGCTGCGTAACGAACATCCCCAGAGTTTAGTGGCTGATAACAGCAAGTATTTATCTTTCATAGTTTCTGGCCGGGTGCGGTGGTCACGCCTGTAATCCCAGCACTTTGGGAGGCCGAGGCAGGTGGATCACGAGGTCAGAAGATAGAGACCATCCTGGCTAACACGGTGAAACCCCGTCTCTACTAAAAATACAAAAAATTAGCCGGGCGCGGTGGCGGGCGCCTGTAGTCCCAGCTACTCAGGAGGCTGAGGCAGGAGAATGGTGTGAACCCAGGAGGTGGAGCTTGCAGTGAGCCGAGATCACGCCACTGCACTCCAGCCTGGGCGACTGAGCGAGACTCCGTCTCAAAACAACCAACCAACCAAACATAGGTTCTGTGGGTGAGGAATGGGAAGGGCTAGGCTGGGTGGTTGTGTGGGGGCTCAGAGTCTCTCATGCAATTAGTCAGCAGCTGCCACAGGAGCTGTTGGGGGTTGGCTGAGCATCTCTTGGCCAGGGCCTTGCCATGAGATCTGTGTTTCAGCTTCCTTACAGCATGGCAGCTTCAGGGCAGTTGGACTGCTCACATGGTGGCCAAAAGCTTTCAGAGAGAGTGTTCCAGCAGTGCTGCAGAAGCTGTATCTCTGTCCGTTATGTCCTAGCCTTGTCAGTTACACGGTGTCATTTCTTCTGTGCTCTATTGATCAGCAAGCCCACCTACATTCAAGGGAAGGGAGCACCCTCCTCTCTTGCTGGGAAAAGGGTCAACAAATTTGGGACCATATTTTAAAGCTACCACAGTAGGCAATTGAGAAATATTTGTGTAAGTGAATGTTGACTAAGTTAATTTGCTACCAGAGGCCAGATAAGGAAAGCTGGCAGCCATCAACACTTGGAGGAGGCTTGCGAAACCACTGGAAACGTCCTTGGCTCATCGACCTGACAGGTTTTGCGTGTCTCAGTATCCCCTGAAAAGCCACGACTGGATAATATTTAGCAAGTGATGACACGGTGCTGCGAGCTTCCCAAAGTGTGGGATGAATGTGGTGTGTGACCTGACTTTAGGCGACATGTAGACATGGTGTTAAACGATAATGAATCACATAGATTATGTTAGCCCATTTTCAATTCTCTTCACTCCTTCTCATCACTTCAAGGAGAAAGTTCCCACCAAGTGCTAAAGCGTCTTCAATAACGCTCTAATACTTGCTAATCTCCCTTTGTATCAAGGAAAAAGCAGTCCCAACACCTTGATAGGCAACAGTATCTACTTTGAATTTGAAAACATTGTTTCGTTTTCATGTTTGCTTTTACAATGGTGTACTCATGGCTTAGTGGTTTTCTATTTTAAACAGTGATACAAAGTATCTATTTAATGAAAATTTAAACCAAAAGAAAAGTATCAAGTTCATTAAAGGTCACACCGTTCAGATATGGTAAAGGCTGCGAAGACCTACCCAAGAGAAGTTTGGGGAAACCTGAAAATAATGAGACCAACACCCTAGGAATGAGAGATGACCTGAGTTCTACACACTGTGGGCGACCAGGGGGACTGACATTCGAGCTACTCTTAGAGAATTTCTTTGTGGTTTTTTTGTTTTTGTTTTTGTTTTGAGACACAGTCTCACTGTGTTGCCCAGGCTGGAGTGCAGTGGTGTGATCTCGGCTCACTCCAGCCACTGTCTCCCGCATTCAAGTGATTCTCCTGCCTCAGCCTCCCAAGTAGCTAGGATTACAGGTGCCCGCCACCATACCCAGCTAATTTTTGTATTTTTAGTACAGAAGGGGTTTCACCACATTGGCCATGATGGTCTTGAACTCCTGATCTCAGGTGATCCACCTGCCTCAGCCTCCCAAAGAGGCTCACGCCTGTAATCCCCCCACTTTGGGATACCGAGGCAGGTGGGTTGCTTGAGTGCAGGAATTGGAGGCTGCAGTGAGTAATGATCACACCACTGCACTCCTGCCTGGGCAACAGACTGAGACTCTGGTATTAGTGATATCACATTAGTAACTTAATATAGGCCATGACTGAAGTATTTACACCAAGAAAATCAGCAGACGCTACAAATCAGGGTTCAATTTGTTTTATTAATTGTCTTGTGGTCTTAAGGAAGTGATAGAAAAATCAGTAAAATTTACAATAAACTATATACACACACATAAATACATACTAACAAATACATTCTCCTCCAGAGAAGCTGTTGTTAAATATTTACCACATCCCACTGGCTGTTCAGAAAAGTATAACAACCATGTAAATAGCTCTAATGTCATAGCTCAAAAGTAGCCAGAGATAATATATAAATGAGTAAGCATGGCTGTTTGCAAATGAAACTTTATTTACAGACACTGAAATGTAAATTTCACACCATTTTCACATCAAGAGATATTCTTCTTTTGGTATTTTTTTTTTCCCAACCAGCTAAAAATGTAAAAAGTCAGAGGGCGTGGTGTCTCATGCCTGTAATCCCAGCACTTTGGGAGGCCAAGGTGGGTGAAGCACCTGAGGTCAGGAGTTTGAGAGCAGCCTGGTGAAACCCTGTCTCTATAAAAAAACACACAAAAATTAGCTGGGTATAGCGGCACACAGCTGTAATCCCAGCTACTCAGGAGGCTGAGGCAGAAGAATCACTTGAACCCGGGAGGCGGAGGTTGCAGTGAGTCAAAATTGTACCACTGCACTCCAGCGTGGGCAACAGACACTCCAAAATAAATAAAAGAAAGGGAAGGGAAGGAAAGGGAGGGAGGGAACAAGGGGAGGGAGGGAGGAACCATTTTTAGTTCATAGGCTATATCTGGACCACAGATTGTAGTACTCCTCACTCTCTTTTAGATCATACTCAAAAAGGTACAGAGCTGGGACTCAAACCTAGGTAAGACCTGAAATACAAGGTCCCAGGCAGAGAAATCAGCAAGTACAAAGGCCCTTAGGCTGGAATGAGCTTGTGCTCCAAGGACGGAAAGACCCACATGGCTGAACAGCAATGAGCAAGGGGAAACAAAGTGGGGCGTGGGAGCCAAGTTCAGGGGACTTCATAAGCCTGAATAAAAGGTTTAGGATATTCCAAGTTCAGCTGAGAGCCCTCTGGAAGCACTGAGTGGCCTTGATATTTCTGTTTTCAGTCTATGTGTGTATATATATATACACACACACACACAAATATATACACACATATGTATGTATATATCTGTGTGTGTATATATGTATGTAGATAAAAACAAAGTATTTATATCTATATATATGGGGGGGGTTCTTGCTCTGTCCCTAGGATGGTGGCAGTGGCACTGTTGTCATAGCTCACTGCAGCCTCAACCTCCTGGGCTCATGTGATCCTCCTGCCTCAGCCTCCCGAGTAGCTGGCCTGCACCACCACACCCGGGTAATTTTTGTGTTTTTGTAGAGATGGGGTCTTGCTCTGTTTTCTAGGCTGGGTTTGAACTGAGCTCAAGAGATCCTCCCACCTTGGCCTCCCACAGTTCTGGGATTACAGGGGTGAGCTACCGCATCAGGCTGGTTACATTTTTAAAAGACTCCTCAGCCTGCGGCCATGGGCAGAACAGAGCCTGGGGCTTCCAAAGAATGCAGCAAAGTCCAAGTCTTCCATGAGACTGTCCAAGTCTTCCATGAGACAGATAGGGACGATGTGGCCTAGGGTGGTGACAGCCTGGCTGGGGAGAAAGCGTGGATCTGGGCTGTATTTTGGAGGCAAGGCCAGGTCCGAAGGATTTGCTGACAGATTCATAGCAGGTGAGTAGAAAACAACTCCAGGGTGTCCGGGACCCTCCCATGAGCCTTGCGAGTGAGGCTGATGGTCCCATTTTCCAGATGGGGAACCTGGAGGCGCGCGGGGTCCAACACCCTCCCATGAGCTTGTGAAGTTGATTCTCGTGGCTCCGAGGGGTCGAGTTCCACGCGCCGGGTCCCCCCTGCCCCCCGCCAGCACCTGCGTCCCAGGGCTGCGCTCCCTCCTCGCGCCTGACCACGACCCCCGCCCTCGCCGATGAGCTCTGATTCCCCCCAATCCCAAGCACCCCGCGCCCTCTCGCCACTTCCCCCGTGGTTTCAGGAAAGGGTTTGCTGAAGGTAATGGCTCCTAAGGCGGGTAAACTGAGGCAGGAGGTAACGCGTCTCCCGCCCGCGCGTGTGGGAAGCCGCCGCAGGCCCGGGGGTTTACCTGGAGGAAGACCTCGGCTGAGGCGTCCTGAACTGCTCACTGTCCCACCGCGGGGGATCCCCGGAAAACGAGCGGGAAAAACGAGAGCCTCTAGACCCGCCTCGCGCCGCGCGGCGCCGCCTCACTAAACTTTCGTCGCTGCCACTGCGCATGCGCCCTTCCCGGCCCTGTCCCCGCCCCCTCAGTCGGCGGGAAAAGGAGGCGGGAGACGGCTCGTGCGCAGGCGTGTGTTGGGAGCGCGGCCCCGCAGGGCAGGCGGCTTGGCCCGGCAGGCGATCTGAAGCTCGCCTCCGCGCGGCGCTCAGCGCGCAGGCGCGAGCTGGCCGCCTCACAGGGAGTAGGCTTGTTAAGTGCGCACGCGCGGGAGTTTCTGGCAGAAAGCAGGCGAGCCTGGGCCGGCGCGGGGCCTTGTGGGAGGGCTTAAGGAAGTAAAATGGCGGACCTGGCGAACGAAGGTAGGGGAGGCGCCGTCGGGGACCGGCTGGCGGCCGGGGAACGGGCAGCGGGAGGACCAGAGGCCACAAGCCTGTGGGGGGAACACCGCAGAGTGCAAGGGTTTCGTCCGCTTCAGGCTAGCACCCTGGCGGGCCCTGCAGCCGCCCCCTATTGCCTCCCCTCAGGTCGGGCTCACCGGCCCGGCCCATCACTCCCGGCAGCCTCGGCCCCTGCAGCCGTTTGGCTAGAGGAGCCGGGAGGCCGTCGAGATCGCAGCCCTAAGGGCCCTCTGCGTCGCAGCCAAGCTCGGGGCTGAAGGGGGCGGGAGTAGCGGCCCCAGTGCTTCGGCCACAGATGTAAATAGACCTTGGGGCCTGGTCGTGGCCCGGAGCGCGCCACGCTCCCTCCCCGCCCCCTCGTCCTCCGCCACCCGGCGTCTCCCCTTCCCCGGCCTGGCTGCCTATCTCCTGAGCCCGTGAGGCCCTCGTCCTCCGCGGACCAGCCGCACACCGCGGCCGGAGGAAGCCCAGGCCGTTTTCACCCCGTCCCCGCCCCGAACTTCGGCACCCACTTCCCGCCAGTTCCCCCCGGATCCTTCGGGGCGCCTCGTCTCCCCCTTATTTAGGCCCCGCCGCAGGATCTGGGCCGCCGAAAGCCCTGGCTGCTTTTTGGTCCTTTTTGCTGCGCTTCCAGACAGAGACCGTGCGAATCCCTCCTCTGTGGAGCGCTGACAGCCCACCTGAGTGTTTTTGACAAGGTTACACTTCCAGATCCCCCGAGAAGGCACCGTAAGGCTGATGTCTGCTTCCATCCACAGTCGTGTTGCCATGGCTGTAGCTTCAGGACTTCTGAGGCCTATTTTTAGCTCCCCCTTCTTCTAGTTGCACAAATGCAGGCAATCTCTCTACCTGTCTGGCCCTGATTCCCTCATCCGGTGCTCCCTGTAGCTGGAGAGTTTTCCATCCCGAATTGCACTAATGAATGAATTATGATAGGAAGTGCTCGGTCTTGTGGAGCATTTAGGGTAGTACCAGTTAAGGTGCAAAGTCCTGACATACTGTTTTCCCTGGGAGGAGGTATAGATACTGTTAGCCCCATTCACTTGATGAGGAAACTAAGTCAGCCTGGTTACGTCGCTTATCCAAGGCATGTCACACAGCTGGGAAGGAGCAGGGATGTGAACCAAGGTGGCCTGGCTTCAGATGCCAGACCACGGGGTCTCGGACTTTTAAAGATTCTGATTCTGCGTGGTGTTGGGCGGGCGCTGGGCATCTGTACAGGAAGCAGCACAGGTGGGCTCCCTGATTCTTGTCCATTTTATTCTATTTTATTTTTTGAGACGGAGTCTCGCTCTGTTGCCAGGCTGTGCAGTGATGTGATCTCGGCTCACTGCAATCTCCGCTTCCCGGGTTCAAGCGATTCTCCTGCCTCAGCCTCCCGAGTATCTGGGATTACAGGCGCGCTCTACCACATCCAGCTAATTTTTGTATTTTTAGTAGAGACGGGATTTCACCATGTTGGCCAGGATGGTCTTGATCTCCTGACCTCGTGATCCACCCGCCTCAGCCTCCCAAAGTGCTGGAATTACAGGCGTGAGCCACTGCGCCCAGCTGCTACATCTCTTTTTTTAAGATAAAGGAGCCCGTGGAGGGTTGCAGCGTTCCAACTCATGAGATCTAGTTACAGAGGGAATGGGTAAGTGGGAATCAATATGACATATTTTATGTATTTACATCCTGAGCCCATATAGTTTCTTGAACTCAGGACTCATGTCCAGCATCACATTTGGACGTCTCCATTTGGATGTGTCATAGGCTTGTCTGGAGCATTTCCAAAACAAAAATCCTTATCTCCACCACACCCACCCATCCCATGGTCTTTCACCCATTGTAGTTAGGCAGGTCCATTCTTTGAATTCCTCAGGCCCCAAACCTTGGAGTCATCCCTGGTTTCCCTCTTTCTCATACTCCACAGCAAATTCTGTCATTTCTACCTTAAAATTATTTCCAAAGGGGGACCACCACTTCTCCCCACCAAGACTGTCAATGCTTGGGCCCCTGTTCCCTCCACCCTTACCCTTCTGAAAACTTCTCAACCCATAGTGGGCCCCAGTGCCTCCCTGTCCTTCTCTCTCGCCACTCTCCGCTGACTTGCTCTGTGCTAACTACTCTAGCTTTTTCAGTTTTCCTTGAATGTTCCATACACTCCCCGCTTTTAGCCTTTTCTCCTACTGATTCCTCTAACTGAAACAGTTTTCCCCCAGATACCCCCGTGGCTCACTTCTTCTGGTTTTTACTCATATGTTACTTTATTAATGAGAGCTTCTCTGGCCACCTATTTCAAATTATATCCACGTTCTCTATTCCGTTCACCTAGCTTGATTTTCCTGTACAGCTCTTACAATCCAGCATGCTAGATGTTACTTGCATGTTTGCCTCCTGTACGCTCCATGAGGTCAGGGATTTTTATGTCATGATCACTGATTACCCCCTTGCATCTAGAACGGTGCCTGGAACAGAGTAGGTATACAAGAAATATTGGTTGAATGAATGAATGAATGAATGAATGAATGAATTCACCAGTGAGGACCCTGTTGTGAGGAATACATTTGAGCACAAAGGGAAAATTATGGATTGCCCTTTTCCAGGGGATACTCTTTCTAGCATATGCGGTACACGTGAGCTGTTGGTTGTAAATGGCATAGTTGAACTGGTAAGGGCCAAAGAGAGAAATGGAATGTTTTGAACTTCACTTTTTTTCCCTAGTAAATGCCACACTCACCTAGCACGTTATCCCTGACACTAGTTCAAGGATCGCTGTCCTGAGGAAATCAAACCTTGGTGGACTTTGTGCCTCACATATTCCTGCAGTCCTTTAATCAGTCATGGTGTTTCTTGAACACTCCATTTCTGGTTTTGGCTTGTACAGCCTGCCAGGATGTTTAATTTCGTATTCACTGTGTAAAGTGGGGCCTCCTTGCCTGCGCCTTTTGAAGTTTTAGGGACTGCCCCATGGTCATGTGTTTGCTCTTGCTGTTTAAGCTCTAGTCAAATGCCCTCTTGGCTTCTGTCTTTCCAGACTGAGATCTTAAGTTGCTCCACCCTCACACCAAGTCCCTCCTCCATCCATTTGCCGTCTTTTTTCTCTGGGCCAGTCCCACCTCTGTGTCAGGCTAAGCAGCGGCTGTCCACACGGCTGGGCATCAGTATCACCTGGGGAGCTTTCCTGAAGCCACAGATGCTCAGTCCCCACGCCCTGCAGATTCCGATTCTCTGTGGTGTTGGATGGGCCCTGGGCCTCTGTGTAGGTGGCAGCACAGGTAATTCTCATGCGTAGCCAGGGTTGAGACCCTCTGGTTTGAGTAGTAGAGGGTAGATGTCCTCTGCTTGTATATGAGGAAATGTTTTCTGTTGTGTAAAGCATCTTGTTGGATCTCGTCACCATGGTGATCGCCTCATGGATGGTGACAACAACTCTCACAGCCCTTCCTGTGGTTTGTGACTTTTAAAGTCCACCTGAGTGCTTTTCCTCTCAGAGAGTGTGTGTGCATGTGTCACCCTTGCATCCAGGGATAAGTCTCCCCTGCTTGGCATTTCCCCATTGATACCTTCCAGACTCATTACTTATCCTGTCTCTGGGGTTATTCTGCATTGTAGGCAGCATCAGGATTTGAAAGCAGAGTTTTGTCCCTGGCAAAGGTAAAGAAGACTGGGAAGAGGATGAGCAAAGCACATTTGAACTCCAGGGAATCTTGGATTCTAGATCCTGACATGAAAGGCCCTGTTGGCCTGTGGACTATGTGTGGTGGAAACCCGGGAGACGGTGTGAAGCAGGGCTCTCACCTTTGTGTGGTGCAGCTGACATTTTGATCGTTCTCTGTTGGCGGGAGGGGGGCTGTCCTGTGCATTGTAGGTTTAGCAGCACAGTAGCATCCTTGAACCTACTCACTAGATGCCAGTAGCACACACCTCCCCTCACTCCCGGGGTCATCATGACAACAGAAAAAGTCTCCTGACATCCCTGGGGAGTGGGGGTGGGGAGGTTGCAGAATCGCCCCCAGATGAGAGACTCACTGGTATCGAAGGTGGGGATGCAGGCTTCGGTCCTTATAGAGAACTGGGTTTGTGTTTTAACTCTACTGTCCACTCTGAGTCATTTGGGGCAAACTTCTTAACCTCTTTGAACCCCCGTTTCCACACCAATAAAATGGGAATAATGATAACCATACCCACCTCGTGGTTGCTGTGAGCACTGAAGGAATTAATGCAAATCCAGTATTTAGCACCAATCTCTGCTCATGGTAATAAACACTCAGGTTGCTGTTTTTACTACAGTGCACTCTGCTCTAGACACATTTAGCTTAAGGGCTCAACAAAGTCTCCATTGTGTGGGTGAACCTGCCCCACTCAGAGTTGGCCCTGGACTGAGCCCCTGGCAGGAGACCAGCAGGGCCTGGGCTCTGGGTCCTCCTAAGTTCTGTCCTGCCTGTCACTTAGTGATCCCAGGGATCCCAGCCTCAGCACTACAGACATCTGGGGCCAGGCATTTCTCTGTTGTGGGCGACTGCCCTGTGCACTGTAGGATCTTAGTCAGGATCCCTGGCCTCTACCCCACCAAATGCTAATGGCATATCCCCCTCCTCACCCCTACCAGTCATGACAACGGAAGTGTCTCCAGACATCACCAGTGTCCCCCGGGGGGGGCAGAATTGCTTTCAGTTGAGAACCACTGATT